GTCAACGGCCTTGTTGTCTTATCAACGTGTTATCTATATAAACTGACCAGTATACTTACCTCAAATACCTGATTTATCTATAAACCTACTTACACACTGGTCAACTGGTCAATTAGACCAAATAAGGACAAATATAGAACAATAGTGATAACCGGTTTTGTGACCCACCCTTTTACAGTATCCCAGTGAGAAGCTTTGGTTGCTTGGGCTTATTTTATCTGCCATTTCAATAGTCGGTTGTGATTGAGTCAAAGTATCAAAGAGTTGCTTAAGATGTAATCGAGAATAGTATTGTCATAGTCATCAGCAATATCCATGGAAAATAGAGCATACCAGAGAAATCCCACGAGGTTATACAGGCAATCCTACTCCTTGTCATATAAAAGCGGGGAATCGAAACCATGCCACTTGACTCAATGGCAGATCTTATGATCTAAAGCACACGCGCTAAACCATTCGGCATCCTAACCCCCTTGACCAACGGCCATTTTAACAAGTGGTAATAGTTATTAAAAAGTGTGTCTTTATCTTTATCCATACGATGTCTTTAAATACCGCACACTAACCAAATTGGATCCAGCTGTGATGGCAGTGGGGCAACAAGTCCTTATTGTGGAAGAAGGATGGCAATATGTATATTCAAAGACGTCTGTCAGGGAGACACGGTGACTCAGTGGAAACCATTGATCAAGCGGTTCCGAAAACATTCCTCGGAATCTTCCGGAATGGTGGGCCAGGCTGGAGGGACGGGCAAGGTACTGCGTACCAGTTGACATGAAAGGGAGCTCCTTACGCGCTGAGCCACCATGGCTCTATAAATGGACCATAAATGGATCAGCTAGTCCTTATCAATGAGTTTATATGTCGTTAAGTGTACAGTTATTAATAAAACAATATGAACTGGTAGATACTGGTATATACTGGTCAGAAATATAGTATATTATATTTAAAAATTGTTTGCGGGAGAGAGAGAGAGAATTGGGGTTTAACGTCCACTCGACACAAACTAGGTCATTTCGGGACTATCATATGGTTTAATTTTATTTCAATAATTCGCTTGCGCGTAGGAGTCTTTAGCAGTGGGGGGAAACCGGAGGACCCGGAGAAAACCCACGAGGTTAGATAGGCGACCCTACTCTTTGTCACGTACAACCGGGGATTCGAAACCACGCCAGTCGACTCAATGACAGACTTTATGATACAGCGCGCGCACGCTAACCATTCAGCCATCCAACCCCCCAAATTGTTTGCACTTATATGATATAGATATGACAAGTCTAACTTAAAGCCACTGTTTCTTTCAAAACATTTACCATTGAAACACATGCAAGTATGTAGCCATGGCCATTCAGGCACTTATACCGAAATGAAATGGGGTTTAACATCCTACTGTTCTGCTTCGACTCGGCTAATTAAGACGGCACTAATTTGGTGTGAAATTTGGGGACTTTTATAATTCCGCTTAAATGTACGACAGATTGCTCTTGAGGACGAAGAGCATACTATGGGCCAGGAACCAAACGTGACATTATCACCGCCATCTTGAAATTGTATCTCGAAAAATTCACAAAATGTCTGGCACAATATAGCCCGCAGCCCAGTTGGTGCTGATTTTCCATTAAACAATATTTCATTCATTCATTCAAAAGTCAAAGTTCGTCCAAGAAACAATCATGCCAAGTTTTATGTCGATCGTATTTCAACAAGAAGATCCCCTGCCCCCATCTCACCCCTTTATGTCCCAGGGCTTCATGTTTCTTTAAACAATGCGCTGCTACATAGATGTTTCTAAGAATCTTACATGCAAAATGTAATACACAAAAAACACATACTTATGGAAAAACAGCTACTTATTTATTTGGGCGACGTTTCGAAGAGTATTCTCTCAACGTTATCAAGCTAATACAGTAATACAAGAATAATGAGATCAATATATACAGAAAGGGTCTAACCCCTTTGATCTTGTTGTTGTCCTGTATGGTTTCATGAATTGTTGTTACAGTTTTCTGTATATATTGATCTCATTATTCTTGTATTACTGTATTAGCTTGATAACGTTGAGAGAATACTCTTCGAAACGTCGCCCAAATAAATAAGTAGCTGTTTTTCCATAAGTATGTGTTTTTTGTGTATTGCTCTACCCAGTTACTAAATGCCTCTTAAAGATTATTATGCAAAATGTAATTGCTTGATTCAATAAATTACATCCGAGACTGGTCCCTTTAAGCGACAATTGTGTCTACATATCTTTAACTCCTTTTAAACTGGTGATAAAAATAAAAGTACAGACGTTAGGTTAAAGGTTAAACTTGTTGATAGTTTGGTCAGATAGATTCACTGATCATCATTGATAACCATAAGTGTTAAAAGGTAGCAAAACAATATCGGTTAATACGACAAAACCACGTGGTCTGATACAGATACTCTCCCAGAGAGAATACCTGTATTTTGCGCAGTTGTTTCTGTTATATTGTAGACCTGTGTCGTCTACTACTTCCATCAGATTATGATCACACAGTGAAGCTTTTAGGGCACTGATCAGTCGATCGGTTTTAAGGGCGCCCACACGCCAATGGGTTCGTTTGCCCTGATCGAAACTTTCTTATGTCACAAACGTGGAGGCTATGGCGCCCCACCACTCTGCTGCACCCCCACTTTTAAAATCCTACATACGGCCCTGCCTGTGCCTCACATCATAGTGTCTACGAAATATTGCACCCAGCTATTTATCAGAACTACTAACATTATGTCTATCAAATTGGTCCCTGAGATCTTATAACCAGAACACAGTTGTTGTTCCACAGTTTGAAACTGAAACATTTTGGTGACAGAAGTTTTAGTGTAGTTGCTCCTATATTGTGGAAGGACTTACCTCTAAAAATCAGAAACAGTGAAACTTTGACTACTTTTAAATCACAGCTGAAGACTCACTTATTTCGGGAATGCTATGAGAATTGAGACTTTCTGTTCACTGTGTATATAACTATTGTCTCATTGCACTTTGGGCGTGCATTTGGATGGATCTGGCACTCTACAAATGTACATTATTATTATAGCATGGCGTTTCCAGGGCCGTACCTAGCTCAGGGCAACGAGGGGGCGGGAAGTGTTCTGAGGGGTGCTGTGATACTGATGGACAATGTACATGTATATCTATTTTTTTATCGTCGAAATTTTTTTCACAGGGGGGTAGGGGGATAAAACTTTTTGCAGGGGGTGGGGGGCCTGGGCGTTTCGACAATAAAAGACAATAAAAGAATACTTGTCCAAACGGCATGTTTTATGTCTAACAAACCATTGAATTATTCCATATGAATTGTCTTGTCTTTTTAGGTTCGGTACTTGTATCTCGTTTATTGTTGCTCGTATAACCGATCTTGAAACACATACACCGATTCTCAAAACGGTTATAAATAGCTTTCAACAGATTTATTCATGAAACCTATGCTTATTGTACAATTACCCGTTCGTGAAACACATGCGATTCTTCCCAAAGTAACTATCCTTAAAATAGATGCAAAATGGAATGATTTTCGAATATCCATTGTTGACTATCAATGAGATTGTTTTGTGGTGCATTCTGGAATGCTCAATAATTTTCTGTATTTAGTTTTAGACAATCATCGATCTTCATTAATAGTTGTGGGAAGATAATCATTTCCTATGATTACTTCTGTGATTGTCTTCAAACGTCAGAAAATAACAATGTCCTCTCTAAATTTCCTGTTTGATGGTTAATCTAATCCGGTGATATTTATTGTGTAGCCAGTGTAAATGATGGGGAGAAGTTGCAAAACCCGATCATGTTTACCTGGTTTCATCTCGGCAGGATTGCGGGTCGGAGGAGGGTTGTGCAGGGAAGTGTGCCTAGTGATTCCGGTGGGAGGGGCTGGTATTCGCTTAAGACGAGATTAAGACCTTCTGAGCCAACTTGGCTATTGATGACGTGAATACACCACGAGGTGTACTATAAAGGACAAGCTACCCGCGTTTTCGCCTACTTTTTTTGTTATTGAATTCTAATTGCATGTGCAGGGAGGGCATCGGGTTGGAACAGAAAAACCTGTTTCCTGTGTATACCATTGGGATTACGTTAAAGTTCACCTAAAGGTTGAAATTAACGCCGTATGGCAAAATGTCAGTGATACAAACTATAGACCGTGTTGAATTTTAAGGACTGAAAATACCAGGATATATCTGTATTTCACGTATAGTGAACATGGATTAAAGTTCTGGTAGGTAAAAAACTGATATACAGACATATTTGTCCTTGTCCGTGTTACTTCCAGCGCTAACATCTATTAAACTGACATATTTACTATGAGGGAATTGGTCTTCTGTGAGTCCGTACATTGATTGCTTCTTCAGCAAATCTTCTTCCGGAGACAGACACGTTGGCCCAGTGAGCTTACTCACTAAATAAGAGGTCCCGAGAACGTTCTTCGGGATTTCTCCTCGTTGATGATGCAGGTCGTAGGATGAGGCAAGCCACCAGGGTGTCTAGTCGTTCGGATGGGACGAAAAACTAAGGTTCATTCGGGTATATGTTGGGGTGCGTGTAAAAGGTCACGTAGACTCGTCATCATTATCCAGATATTATCACTCAAGTGTTAAGACTAACAAACCCCAAACAGTAAATATGTACATAACCATTTGGATCATTTTAATGTTTTCATTACCTATAGCTGCATGTTGTACATTGATTGTTGGAGTTGTTTTTGTTCTTGTTTTTTGCATAATATATTTTTTGTGACATAGGAGATAAGTAATATACACCTATAATGTTCGTTTCTGTGAATAAAATAATCTTTATTAAAACGGTATTAATGCAAAAGGCGCCAACAAAACTCTCCAGATTCTAAATTTTATCGCCAAATTTTTAGCATAATTATTGGCAGAAATGGCGATCGATAGCATGAGTAGTCCTACATAATCTTATGGAATCCTGATGACTATATCGTTGGAGATTACATGCCCAAGACAAAACGTTTATTCCTCTGATTGGCAAAATAAGCATCGTTTATTTGTAACATGCAGAAGCCTGGATTGATATATCTTTCTGTCAGCTTTCAACCAGTTTGTAAAAGCGTGGGTGGAAATTCTCTAGATTTATTATAGATAATTACTTGTTCTGTTGAAAAACAAACAATTAAATACAAAACAAACAAGAATAGAAGGTCGTATATATATGTATTGTGGTCCCAGGAAATTGGGTTAACGTCCTACTTTTCTGCACCATCTGGCCTAATGAAGTCAGGCATCCGCCATACGGTGTACTATGAAGGAAATTAGCACGGACGCGGGCCTACTTTCTAATTTCAACTTTTAAGGTTTATTTCAAGTGCACATCAATCTCTGTACAAGGGACCACGGTTTTTTGTACAATCCAAACGACTAGACACTGTTTGTTCCTTGTCGGGCCCTCCGTACGACACCACTGGCAAGTGAAACTTTCTCATCCAAAGCAGGAAGCGAACCCGAAACCTTCTGGTTAGCAAAACATCTTATTCATTGAGCCACCGCGGCTCCTAGATGATACTAGTATCGAAATGACCTAGTTTGAAAACTAGATAAAAAGAACCTACTATATCAAGCTTGTCAATTATAAATTGACTGCATCCATGAGCATGATAGAGAGACGAGTGCATATTATTGTTGATAGCCCCGGTGTTATCTGATACTTAACCGTGTTATATAGAAGTTTTACAGTCAATACAGTCGCCCACTCACTCTTCTTAATCGTAATCGTGGTATTACGGATTTCCAAATATTCGACATCTCCGTTGAAATACAATTCGTCCGATATTGCATATTATCAATTTAGTGAAAAACATAGCCATTTTTGATTTTTTTTTTCTTATTGAATGTTAAACATGCATCATGCAAGAGGTAAATCTGCCTATTGCAGGTCTTTCTTTAGGCCTGAAATGTTATCTAAATTATTAATTAGACATTAATTAATTTATCCAGACCATAATCATCTGTCGATGTCATCGTTAGCCTGTATTATTTAATTGATTTGAACACATTTTGTGGTGGATAATTTAACGTAAAAATGGATAATCGAGACTTTGTTTGTTATCATACCAACGTTAGTAATGACGATCGAGGCTGGCATACAATTGAATTGCTAATATCTCGGTTCAGAGTGAAGCATATTGACTGAAATTGTCAGCATATTCTATTTTCATTATCGATTTTCTAACTATTTTAACGAGAACTGTCAGCTCTTTATGTAATATTACCAATGGGCCCTTTTAAACTGTACTGTGGGGAATTAATTTTGATAGATGTATTTTATCAGTAAGTCTGTTGACGTAAAGATTAAATAGATTGAACTGTTTATGTTTTGAGTATAAAAATAGACGCGTTATTAAGACAAGAGAAGGTGAAAGAATAAACAATATAAGATATTATGTTTGATGTTTTTATCATTAAGGACATAGAGCAACAGCTGGTAAAGACAACTTCACACATTCCTGTAACGTTGAGAGAGAAAGTGTGGGGGCACGGGTATCGTGGATGCGTGTATATTTTATATCTTCCACTATAAGACAGTGCTTATCAGGGCATTTTTAGTACAGGACCACAAATGCCCCGTTGCTTTGTATAAAAATACATAAGCAGCGGGGCAATACCATAAATATAAAGTGAAAACACGAGCTTTTGATACTATTTGAGAGATGGGCATTAGCATTTTTCGGTAAACATCACACTAGTAAAACAAGGCACGGGGCTTTATATCTCAAAGCTCCACTAAATTTTACCTGAATGCAATTTGTTTTGTGGTCACAAATCCCTTCTTTGTCCTAGTGCTATTAGATTCCTTTAAAAATCCCTAGTTCTTATGTATATTATTAATACTTCGTTTCAAGTCCTGATAAAACCATAAAAGCCTAAAAAGACAAAAAAACAACAAACAAACAAAAAAAAAAAACCCAAAAAACGACCATTTTATTCATACACACTGGAGGCCAGTCTAACTTCCAAAGTTTACCTAGTTAATATGTCAAGAGATTGTATGAAAACTGGTTCAGTAATAATATTGCAAACATACTTGTATTAATTTACGTAATCACCGTCTGGTTTTAAGGTAAACCTTCAATCGCGCGAGTTGTTCAAGTGTATGATTAAGAAACAGACTATTTATATTGAAATTGTTCATGACTCATGACATAACCCTAATTAATGTTTCTGTGGGATGGATTCCAAGGTTAAGAGTTACACCTGGATTTTAAGTCTATGAGGTGTTAATGAGTGGTGCCATCACCTCTCTACGTTCATCTGTGTATTATTTACAGTGGCGTACGCAGTAGCAAAAGTTTAATGCCCCTTGCCACGACTTCTTTGGGTGACTCAAATTAAAAGAACTTCGTCTTAAAGGAGCTAAATCGCTAATATTTTGGGCCTAAAAATTGGCACAAATGAGTCGCAACACATATAATAATGTAATATGAATTTATATAAACTGTTTTCGTTCAATCGTGTCCTTTTTACTGTGAATTGTCATCAGTTATGTTCGGCGAAATACGCCAGAAGTCTCAACCGAAAGACAGTTTCTAGCGTCTGGTTATTCCAGTCAACACCGATAGTATATATTGCACATGCTCTCCAAATAAGAATATGGCATCACCGTTTGACACGATTCGTGTACCAATCGTAAAATGTTTATTTTGTCTTGAATATTGGATATCAGATGCCCATCTTTTCCCTGTAAGATCACAAGACCAATGTTGATTTGAATTGACAAATAATTCGTGTTTTCAATGTCGAAGATTTTTGATGATATTGAGTTAGAGACTTAGCTACTTTAAGTCTGTATTTAAAGATATTACATTTACCTTATCTCTCCCCTGTTTTTCTGAAATCCCAGCTACATCAGTGATTGCATTGTACGACGTAAATTAGAAATAAATATTTGCCCAACTTGACTGCGTAATGAGATAACTCAGCAATTTTTATAAGAACGTTATAATGTATATATATATAAATATATTACTCATACTTGTATATATCACTTACTTTAAATCAAATATTTCATTCCATCTTCGTCAACCAATATACTAGTGATCTTCTTTTATTTTATTTCAATTTTTGAAATTTCGAATAAGCGAATATCAATCTGATTAAAACACATATCCTATTTCGTTTCGTTTTTATAGTTCGAAATTTCGTTTTACTTGTCTTTACTACACTAGGATCTGAAAGAGTTGTTATATTACCGGCGTTCTGGTTGAAGTGAGGGATTAGCCAATGAAACGGTCTGTTACGGCGAGTTCTAGGCGTGCGATGCGCAGAACTGTGGGTAAACCACTAGAAACGTTAACCCTGTTTGTTTAATCAAAGTCTGACGTCATAGGGTCAAAAGCCGCTCGTACGACCCCTGACGTGATCTTCCAGTACAACCGGTCAGATCTTCATGTAGTGTAGGCTATCGAAAGTATAAAAAAAACGAAACGAAATATAGATCTATATTTTAATCAGATTGAGCGAATATACAAGTCTTTTATAATTTGATAAGCGTTTTTCTAACGTCAAAATTCATTGTTTTCTGACATTTGCCTTGGAGTTCCATTTTATGTGTGACTTTTAAACTACTCAAATGAGTAAAATATCTTGCCAAAATCACAGAATTTCATTTAAACCTTATCCATGGCTGCATTATACCATGCTTGTCGGGTAAGGGTTTGTATCGCAGTTTGAGTTGTACGCAGTTTGAGTGGTACGCGGTTTGGCTCGGTTTCTATTGAATGCATGTGGTATTTACATATTTTAAAACATCGGGAATGGATTTGTCACGTTGCCTAACTTTTCTTCAGTTCTCAAAATATGTGCCTCAGTGCATCTCAACAACCATAATTATTTATTATTGGCATGAACCTTTGGTGTTATTATTGTTATTCATTTACATATTTTCTTTTGTAGACTCATTATTGTTGGGTCTACTGGGACTCATTATTGTTGGGTCTACTGGGATTCATTATTGTTGGGTTTACTGGGGTCTCATTATTGTTGGGTCTACTGAGGTCTCGTTATTGTTGGGTCTACTGGGACTCATTATTGTTGGGTCTACTGGGGACTCATTATTGTTGGGTCTACTAGGGACTCATTATTGTTGGGTATACTGGGACTCATTAGTGTTGGGTCTACTAGGGACTCATTATTGTTGGGTATACTGGTTACTCATTATTGCTGGGTCTACTTGGGATTCATTATTGTTGCGTATTTTGGGTCCTGCCTGAGAGTATAAATTATACCTTTCTGTTAAATATGTAGTTCTATCATAATACTTGCAAAAGTGTCAAGGGTGGGTACTCATTAATTTTGGGCGAATAGTTTAACACGTATTCATTAGATCATAAAGTATGTCATCGATTCCTCGCTTGTACGGGATACAAAGTCCCACCACGCGATAGAGCGAAGATGATAATACACAGAATTCCTGGAATTTAAAGTTGATGATGAAAGCATGTTTTAAATCATCTGGGAGATCCTTAAGATACTAAAAACAAAGTATTTAACATTATACCGACACGAGAGTATCGTGTAGACATTCAAGGGTATGTACGTTTTTAAGCTTTATGCCCAATAGACTCCATTTTAAAAAAATCTGACGTCCAGCTTTATAGTTTCAAATGAATACGTGATTTGGGACTCGTCAAGAGTTAAAAAGAACATGTTTTATTTTTCACAAGGATTGATTTATTCGAAACTGCTTACTTATATCTTAAAAGGTTTGTTGTTTTTTTTAAGTAATAGTTTTAAGACAATAAAGTTATTATTCAAAGACAAATGTGGTAAACAATTTGCTATAGTTCTCTAGTGACGTCAAATTTGTCATCATTGCTACGTTTATACATTATTTCACTGATGAATGGATCCTTAACCTTCGTCATACAAAATTACTTGGAGTAAGTGTTTTGCTTCTTTATAAATGCATCAAAGTTAAGTTACCCAAGTTGAATTTTAGAAGGATTTCTACTGCTGTAAACGTAACCAGATAGCATGTCCACGAACCGTTGCTACGTAAGTCATTATTATACAGCACATGGTTAGGGTCTTACAGTTTAAAATGGGGTAAATGGTATCAAGCATGATTGCTTCCAGTAATTATTAATGAAAGTCATTGAAAGATGATGACAGCTAAGAATTAACGCTAAATAGTCCTTATCAGGCTGATGACTTGATTATCACAAAAATCTGAGTTACGTGTAGCAGCACTGCATCTGGAAATGTAGATTGTAATATCACATGAAATTTTATTTTAGAACCGTACTTCGAATTTATGAATTTACTAATTAGGATCGACCTGATAAAGTTATTTTCGCAACCTTGTCCACCCGTCCACAGTTTCTTATTAACTAGTATTGGCTCTTTTTGAGATTCGAGTGTTTGATAAAAGTTATTCGGTTTATTCAAAGGAAGATCCCACCTAAATGTCCCTTGATAACAAAACCTTGTTAACACAGTGCAGATGCACTATCAACACTATCAACACTATCAATAAATTTCCTATTTTCGATGAAATGAAATGGGGTTTAACGTCCTACTGTCCTGCTCCGAACTGGGCTAATGAAGACCGGCATACGCCATACAGTGTGCTATGAGGGAAATTTTGCCCGGACAGCGACACTACGGCCTACTCTTATATCGAATTCCAACTGTCAAGGGATCTTTTACGTGCACGCCAATGTGTACACGGAACCTCTGTGTTTCGTACCATCCGAACGACTAGACAGCTGTCCTTGCCAGGCCCTCCGTCCTGCATGATTTTCGATAAGATTAATAGTTAATTATGTATGGTGTGATAGCCTATATTTATGTTTTCGTCAGGAATATTTGGCCTGTAGCATAAGATAAACCATACACTAACTTCTTTGTTTATATCTACCATAAATGACACTTTACATATCATAATATACAACTTTCAACAAATAATTTAAATATATGTCACTTTTAATCGTGCTTTATCATATAAACCAAAATTTCAGATTTCTTATTATTTTATTGATAAAACTGACATTTTAAGTTGTTTATATACTTGAAGATATAAACATAACTAAATTTATACACAGTTAATTAAGTTATTTCAAATGCTAAAGCCCATTTACTAATTATAGATTACTGATCTGATTTTACCGATTGTTAAATTCTCTGATCACCATATGAGAAAGTGTAAATCCCTTGAAAACTATATAAATGAAATGAAATGAAGTTTAACGTCCTACTGTTCTGCTCCGACTGGGCTAATGAAGACGAGCATACGCCATACTGTGAGCCAGAAAAGCGGCGCTATTGTTTACTCTTTTTTCGAATTCCAACTGTCAAAGATTCTTTTACGTGTACGCCAATGTGTACACGGGGCCTCGGTTTTTCGTTCCATCCGATCGACTATACGTTGTCCCCCATCAGGCAATCAGTCCTACACCACTGACAAGGGGGGGGGGGCATGTCGGAAAATCCCGATGAACTTTCTCGGCCAACGCAGGGATCGAACACGGGACCTCCAAGTTAGCGAGCCAAAGTCTTACCGACTGAGCCACCGTGGCTTCCTGAAAAGTATATAATATCATGGAATAAGAATCTCTAAAAGGAGTATCGGTCCAAAAATGGTTCGGTTACGTTTAGTAGTCTCAAAGATATGATGAACTGACAATCGACACCAAATGCACTATAATGCAAATATGAGGCACCTAAAATATTTTGATGGACCTCTTTTTAATTGAATTGATTCTTATTCGGTAGACCATCTATCGTTGATATTTTGAAGGTGTGTTCCCACTTAGCCGGCAGACTGTTAAAGGACCTAAGTCCGTAACTCAAAATCCTCCAAAATCTTCGACATCGAAAACACGAATTATTGGTCAATTTAAATCAACATTGATGATGTAAACTTACCGGGAAAAGATGAGCTTCTGATATCCGATATTTAAGATAAAATAATTTTTTTTAACATTGGTACACGAATCGTGTACCATAATGCGCTTCAGCCCCAGTTGTATTGAGAGACTCGAGGGACGAGGCTAGACACATTGCACCAAATCAAATGGAGTTATGTAGACTAGAATAACTAGACGCTAGAAATTTGCACTCGATTGAGATTGCTGACTTATTTCGCCGAACATAACTGATTTGAAATTGGAGTAAAAACGGAAACCATTAAATGTAAATCAGTTTATATACATTCATATTACAGTATTATATGCGTTGCGACCCACTTTTGTGAATTTCTAGGTCCCAAATGTTAGCGATTTAGCTCCTTTAATCCCTTATTGATCTTAAAACTATAGTCTGTTTAAAAGTAGTCACTCAAGAACTGTTCACTAGTGTTCAGCGTTAATGAGCTCTTAATCCCTCTTAATAAAATTTATTAACCAACTAATTAATGACATTTTGAACACAGTTCATGCCGGCGTTATGATTTCAAACATGAATTCAATTCTAATATTTACAAGTTCATTAACTTAATAAAACAAGAACAATCCTATGTCGAAATCACCATTTCACAGATATTATTTGGTGGTACCAAAAGGCCTCGAGTTAAGAAATATCGACAACTTGATACAAGAATCGAACATTTGAAAACACAGTTATTAAATGGCTCTTTAAGTGTAAATCGGTATGGAACAAATATTTCCTATTTAGTGGGGCTGTAAAATGATTGTTATGTTGTAAGGCATTTATTTATAAATTATATAATGCTATTTAATAAAAGTTAAATGTGTAAATTGTAATGCATTTTTATATGTGTAAATCATTTAATGTTATATAATAAATATTAAATTTGTTAAAATCAATATATTTTTATATGTGTAAGCTATTTAATGTTATTTAATAAAAGTTAAGTTTGTTAAAATCAATACAGTTTTAGTCTTAAAAAAGATATGGACTATAGTTTATAACACCATTGTTCTAGGATTA